AAATGAAATTTTTTTTTACCATTGTGTCTAGAATTTTTTTCAATTGTAAAAAAAATGAAAATGCCTAAGAACCTGGAAAATCAATTCCAACCAAAACAACAAGAAAATGTTTTCCTCCAATTGGAAAATGTGGAAAAAAAATTCAAGGGAAAATTTTGTTATCAAACAGGTGTAAAAGTTGGAAAATGCTCCATTTTCCATGGAAAATCATGGCTGTCAAAAGGGCCTTATTTTAAAATATATATTATTCTTATAATTAATTATTTTAATCTCCGCCAAGCACACACTAAGCAGTATCCCGTTCTTTGGGTTAGGTAAGATAACCCGAAGGAGACTCAAAAAATTGCATATACTAATAAAATTTTGAAAATTAGGTTTATAGTTATCAAAGCTCTATCTTAACATTGATCTGGTCAAGCCTTAAGTCATCGATTTATTTGTCAAACCGATAGATCGTTGGTCAGACCGATGCGTTTAAATTCTAGTAGTGGTCCAATTTTTAAAGTTTGACAAATGAAGAAAAAATAGTTAATTTCATTTTTATTCAATATTACACAACGTTTCGAGAAAATTACAATAAATGAAGAACACATGGCTAATCAAGTTCATTCATCTGGAGATCAAAAATAGCACTCCTTAAGTCTCACATATTATTTGTTCTTTTAATTCTCTATCTAGGATATAATTCAGAAATTGATGTTTCATTTATAGAGATGGCTGTCGAGCTCGACGTGGATTTGTCTGAATCTTGCACTTTGGGCAAGCTCTGTGTTCTACTACGCATAAAAGATGAAGGTTGACGAGGAACAGCAAGAGTGGCTGAAAAACTATTGAGCGTCAAAAGTATCGAAGTCATGTTTGGTCTTTCATCAACATCTTCTTGAACGCACAGTAAGCCAATCTGAATGCATCGAATTACTTCATTCCTAGCGAATGCGTTTTGTAATGTTAGATCCATCAATTCCAAGGGTCTATTGTCTTTCCAAAGCTTCCAAGCCTGCACATCAAGAGCCATTTAACTTTTTAAGCTCTAATCCTAATTATAGTAAAAAAGAAAAAAAAGAGAGAGAGAGAGAGAGAGAAGCAAAACTACGCAAGAAGGTCTATGATTGTTAAGAAATATGGCGTCAAGCAATAATTTGGAATTTGCACTTACATAGCTTATGAGATCCTCAGCACCATCTGATTGGTAGAAGCTGCTATTCTTTTTGCCGCTTATGATTTCCAAAACAAGGACGCCAAAGCTAAAAACATCAGATTTTACAGAGAACTGTCCGTGCATTGCATACTCCGGAGACATATAACCACTACAAGCCAGAAAATATATATATATAACTTGAGCTAATAAACTTAAGAAGGCATCAGTATTTGATTATAATAAAATCAATTTATTACTTAATTTGGCAAATGGATTAAACATAGAACAGATATAGTGTAGAACTTACTATGTCCCAACAATCCTACTCGTGTTTCCTTGAGATTGATCAACCCCAAAAATTCTTGCCATACCAAAATCCGATATTTTCGGGTTCATATCTTCATCTAATAATATATTGCTAGCTTTGAGATCACGGTGTATAATTCGTAGACGAGAATCTTCATGAAGGTAAACCAATCCTCGTGCTATTCCTCCTATGATCTTGTAACGTTTTGACCAATCCAACATTTGTCGTTTTTCTGGATCTTTACATCCATTAAGAGAATGAATAGGCAGCCAACGTATATGAATTTCAATATAAAGATGAGAAATAAGTAATCATATCAAGATTGATGCTAACCGAATAGAAAATAATCAAGGCTTTTATTATGCACGTATTCATAAACAAGTATCTTCTCTTCTCCATCCAAGCAAAATCCTAGTAGTCTTACTAGATTTCTGTGTTGAAGCTTGGCGACAAGAACAACCTCATTCTTAAATTCTTTTGCGCCTTGTCCTGAACCTTTGGAAAGTCTCTTCACAGCTATTTCTTGTCCATTTAAGAGAGTACCCTAAAAGCACGTTTAAACATAGCATTATACACCAGTCTGTCAAATACTGTATAGCCCGACTTACTAAACAAATCATACCCGTGTAAAAGTGATTGTTAAAACATTGAAAATATAAAGGGATAAAACCTAGTACATAGAATAATATTCCTTCATCAAGTACCTTGTAGACACTACCAAATCCACCTTCACCAATTTTGTTTTCTGCAGAAAAGTTGTTGGTAGCAAGCGCAATAGTATTCAAGTCAAATTGCAAGGATTCAACTGATGAAATCTCATTTCCTTCGTCTACATACAAAAATAGCAAACATTACATACATTTATTTAACTCAGGAGTGAGTGAAGCGGTGAGAAACTACGATTTTTTTTTAATCAATTTCTTACTGTCTTATATTGAAGTTGCAATACTGAAATGAATGCACTAGACAAAAACTGCAGAACAATAAACATGTCGCATATCTAATTCTACTTAAACTTTTAGATGATGTGATTCAATATGTTAAGAGCCGATAGAAAATCCTATATTAGTTCTCTGATCACCATTCATTTTATAAAAATTGTAGACGTTTGTGCATATGAAGGGCTTAATCTTCTAGATGATTTGGTTCGATCCAGTATCTCACTATTGTGTACACAAGTTCAAATATGACGGAATGGGAATCTTTTTCTTCCACTTTTCCTTTGTGTGCTCGAATCTTACCATTTTCCTCACTGACAGCATCATAAGGTTTCTTCCATTTCAAGAAGAAGAAGCAGCCTATGAAGAAAAGCACCAAGGAAACAGCAATTGGAACAACGATGGCAATAATAACTTGTTTTGAAATTCCACCATTTCCTGAATTGGAAACACAAAAGAGGAAGAGAAAATATAAATCTTCTTGTCGAAATCTTCCACTGAATAACTAGGAGATTTACTGAGATATATCGCTTGTTATGATCACTGCAGACTTATATTGATGCTTATTGGTTACTATTTCGTCATTAGTATAAAAAGAAAAAAGGAAAAATTAATCTGTTTTTTCCTTGTCGAAACCCATTTTTCAAAAATAATGTATTGCTTAAGAGTCAAGAGGTTACCTTGACTGCTTGTAGAAGGCGAGGGAGGCGGTGGCTGAATAGGAGGAATATTTGGAGTAGGCGGTGGTGCAGGGGCCACAGTAGAATTGAAGAAGGGGTAAGTCTCATACCTAATATTACAGCTTTCGCCAATAACTCTTCCTCCTTTCTTATTATCACAACATGTTCTTAATTGCGGGATCGCACTTCGAAGGCAGGTATCGCAATCACCACTCGAAAGATCCGGCGTGCACTGTGCCAGTGTATACAGGTTTTCAAACGCCGTGAAGTTAGTTTCTTTTGTAGCAAATTTCTTACCGGGGAGACTACTATTAATAGCTTCCAATGCTATTTCATTCATCGTCTCTCCTAATAACTGTCTGAACCTATTGGGTTCATCCGTAATGTTCTGCGTATTATACAGGTATACAGCAAACGACTGCTCTACCCTCGAGAATATAGATTCATTTGAGTAGCGTAACATGCAATAGTCGTACCTGTTGAAAACAATATTTAAATGAATATATATTGATAACTTCAACTTTTGATAAAATAAATCGTTATACCAGATAGTTGCCCGTTTTTCCTTGGGACAAACTTGTAGGACTTCAGTTGTAGCATTTTCCACACATTGTTGGCAGGCATCGGTGTTAACATCGCCCCTACATAGAAATAGACCGTAGACGGTGTTGGGAGCGCCGCTGCCGACCATGTTATTGTAAAATCCATTCTCCCGGGTGGCGTTTGAGGATAAAGTAAGGAAAAGCTGATTCAAGTTGGATCGATAGGTGCTATTAGGACTGTATGTAGTTGTATTTGGACAATAATGGTAAAGAGGATCCGATCTAATTGTTGTGCTGAAGCAGAGAATGCAAAATAAGCAAAAATATGTAGAGATTATGAAGGCTGACATGATTAATCTTAAAAAAAAAAAAAAAAATCTGCTAATAATTTTGATATTTTTTCAAACAGAAATGGATTTCTTATAGGATGTGGAAGTAGTGGTGAGCGAAGACTTGATGTGCCAGTCAATGGAGGCAAGATCTTTTGGTTGTCTTGGTCTTTGTGGAAATTAATAAAGACGATAGCATTGAGATTTACGTATTGATGGAGAAAGGTCTGAATACTGTTGCATTTTATATTGGTCTAGAATTCACAACTTACTGTTTCTCATCTTTGAAAAAAAAAAAAAAGCGATGATGTTATTTGTATATTAGGATGTACATAGGGGATTACACCCCCCTCACATGGGGTGTGGTACCCACTCGAATAAAAAATATTATTCAAGTGGAACCCACTCCATGTGAGGGTGATGTAACCCCTTATGTACACGTTTTGATGTACAAGTAGACGAATCTAGTTATGTAGAAAAAGTTTACCGTGCCTAATTAAAGGGTGGTCAAGGTCAACCCATGCGCGGCACACTTAATTCAGTTCATTACTTCTTTTAAACTATCTTGAATAGTTCAAAGCATGTTACCCATGCTTTAAGGAATAATATAGATTGGAGAAAAGTCAGACGAATTAATGAAACTCTACGAATTAAAATTAGTTACGTGTTGCAGTAAAAGAATCAAATATTTAGATGACAAGACGTAACTATAAAAGTCAGATTCAAATGATTATTTTATTTTAAAATATATTTTTCACATATAAATAAATATTTTAAGTTATGCCAAACACACACTAGTCTAGGTGGTATCCGATTTTTGGGTCGGATAACGTAACACGATGGAGACTTTGAAAACTGCATATACTAATAAAATTTTGAAAATTAAGTCCATAGTTATTAAACTCGCAATGTGAATATTGACTCGGCCAAGCCTTCGAGTCGCCAACTCTATTTTTTAAGTGGCGGATCATTGGTCTAATATTCTAATAGTGGCCCAACTTTTAAACTACAGACTCGTGTCTGAAAAAATCTCAAGTCCATTCCGAGATAATGAAATGTTATATTTTTATAATCCTATCCTTCAAAATGTAGATTCATGAATTTTACCTATTCAAACAAAAAATATAAAAAAAAGTATGTTTGGTGCAAAACTTTTGAAAATAAGAGAAATCTTCATAGATTAATAATTAAGTACCATGGGATTGGGCGGATTCAGGAAATCGAGTGAGTTAGGACAACCGTTGATCGTTGGCAACCTCAATAACTAGATTATTTTTTAATATTTAAGTAAAAATACTTCAAATAATATAAACGTAAAAGTCATATACATATGAAACTATAATTCACTACAATCCAAAATAATAAGAAAAATATTTTTTCTTGAATCATATACGCACGATCAAATTTCAAATTTTTACAAATTTAAGCGAAACAAGATGGAGTTCAGACGTAAAACATGATTAACGGTAAATACAAATTTCGAACTAAGGTGAAGTTTATGGAAAATTTTTAAAACAATGATTTTTAGAATTATTTTGGTCAAACATTATTCAAGAATACGTTTCTGTTTTTCAAAAAATAGGGCTCAAACAAAGGCATAACCAATAAAAATAGGACCATTTCTACAAATTACAGAGATCTAAAGGTTTGAATCAACATCGAACATTGTAATTTATGCTTTAATCCGCGGTCTTAATTATCCCTTGGTTGGCCTATTTTTTGAAAATTCATTTTGCTTCAAATTTATTTTCAATCATACATACGACTATTATCAACTTTTCGATCACATATTTTATCAACTTTTATCAAAATATATTAAAAACATGATTTTAATTAAACTAAACAAGGACTTTAATTTCAAGATGCAGATAATCAATGTTAAAGATTGATTAAACATGTCACAATATTCCCATTTTTTTAGTTGGGTTTACTTAAGAAAACTTAGACTAGACGTCATACGTAATTACATATGGTAATGGCGTCACAAATGTGAATAATCTGAACAAATGTATGCTAATACCTATTAAGATTTGAGGTTTTTACATGTCTAGTTAAATAAAACATAATCAATATGAACATACATCAACCGTCTTGTTGTTATGAAATGAAGTTTTGTTGCGAACTCATAGCCATACCCATCTCTTTAGCATCCCGTCATTCTTTTTTTCTCGATATCATTATGTTAATAAAAAATGGCTCATTGGTATGTTAATGAATTGTTCCATTGAGGGGCCGCCACATGGCCCCCTGGATGGCCTGGCCAAGCAGCTTTTTCCGAGGCAAAATGTGAAAGGCGTGGTGATTAGTTAATCCAAGACTTCCTGTTTTAATCAATGGAATCCAAGTTCTTTTGATTGTCATCGTCCTTGTGTAAATTAATAAAGAAGATAGCATCAAATTACGTATTAATGGAGAAAGGACTGAAAATGTTGAATTTACATGGTTAGAGACTTTAACTGTCCAGACGTGCCAAATGCACTGAGTTTTCAGTTTCAAATGTTTAGCTCTGTTGTAGAGGCTTGCTTTCCATATTCAACATCCACCTTAAAAGTATCATGGTGTACTGGACTGCATAATATTGACGCAAACGGTTATGTAAAAAGTATGACCTAAAGTTGTTACGAGTCAGCATGCAATAGAATAGACTATCGTGAACAATCCACCTCCACACTCAATAAAAGGTTGTAGCCTAATTCAAATCATCGCTTCTCATCTTATAAACCCTTAATTCATTATCTGAAAATCGTGAATTCTCAAAGAACTTCACGTCACTTGATTCAATTATCATATTGGTCACCAAATTCAATAATCTATATGATTTACTATTACTAGCATATCTAACAAATGCACATTTGATGCCTCTTATACCCAACTTAGTCATATTAGGGTACGTGCTCTTACAATATGCAAGACACCCCTATGCTTTGAATTATCCAATGTTTGGTTTTCTTCGTTTACAAATTCATAAGGAAGCCTTTGTAAATTTAGAAGGAATCCTATTTAATATTCTACATGCAATCAATAATGCCTCACCCCATAAATTAAATGGTAACTTAGCATAAGTTAACATGGCATTATCATTTTAACTAATGTTTCATTTTTTCTTTTAGCCAAACCATTTTGTTCGAGTATCCTAGGTGCAGAACATTGATGTATTATGCCTTGTTGTTCAGAAAATAAGTTAAAATCACTAGAAAAATATTTACATCTTCTATCACTTCTTAAAGTTTTTATTTTCTTACTTAAGTGATTTTCAAATTCATTTTTATATGATTTAAACATATCAAAAACTTCATATTTATTTTCATTAAATAAACATAAGTGTATATAGAGTGATCATCTACAAATGTAACGAAATACCTATTGTCACATCTAGTTAACATATCATTTAATTCACATTTGTCTATAAATTATTCTAAAATTTTTGATATGGTTTTTTTTATCATTTTAGATTCTACACAAGTTTTACATTTATATTCATCATTTTCTTTATAAGATATTAAGTCACATTTTAACATTCGTTTTATGGTACTCTTACATATGGGACATAATCTAGCATACCATAAAATAAATGAATCAATCAAATAAGCAAATTCAACTTTATTATTAATCAACTTGTCAACAGTATAAAGCTTGATCATTCCTTCAATAGAATAGCGTTGTCCAACAAATTTCTCATTTAGGGATAGTATAAGTTTACTAGATTCACAAAAACTTTTTATGCCCGATTTTCCTAATAGATTACCACTAACTAAGTTTATATTCATATTAGGAACATGTAGTACATTTGTTTAAGGTAACGATCTTGTCGAAAATGAAGATAATCTCTACATTTCATTTTCCAATCACTTTGGAGGGACCTTCATTACCCATTTGAACCTCTTGATCTTCATCCATTTCATATTAAGTCTTGAATAAAAATTTATCAAAAGACACATGTACAGCTGTACATGTATCATACCACCAACCGGGAACCTTTCCCTTGATAACATTGATCTCACTCACGGTAGCCACAATGTTATCTTCTTTGATGAAATTCACTTTTCCTTCCAAGTTGTTTTGTTTTTGGTGTCGGCATTTTTCACGTACAAACCAACCTCCCTTAGACTTTTTCTTAAACTTGTCAAAGTTTTTAGAAGGCTTTCTCTTATTGAATTTGTTCGAAAGTTTGGTCTTCTCCACGACATTGGCCTTTGAAGTACCTTCATAAGAATTGTCATTCTTATCTCTTGCGCTTGACTCTTCCCCAATTCGAAAATGTTTATGCACTTGTTCCAAAGAGTAATATTTGGAACTACGCATGATTTTCTTCTGATATTTTTTCCAAGTTCCCCTGGAGTTTTTCAATGATTGCTCCCACTTAGAAAGATTCAGAAATTTCAATTTTGACCGCCTTCAACTTGTTGACAATAACTTGCAATTCATGCACTTGGGGAATAAGGGGAATATTTCAAGGAATTTAAAATCAAAATATCTTGATATGAGAACTTTCTTTGTACCTTCTTCTTCGGCTTTATTTTTTTGTTTTTCAACGCATCCCAAATGTCTTTTGCCGAAGACATGTTCCTCCTCTTGACGCTTTTGTCTTTCCGTCCTTACAACTTCAGTATCTTCATACGTTGGTTCCGCAAGTGGTGCCAATGCGGGATCAAGAATGTATAAGATCTTCAATACTATTAGGAGAAACTTTAACTTGTCTTGCCACTTTGAAAAATTTGTCCCATCAAAAGGGTACAAATGAACGAGGTCTTAATTCATCAACTTGATTGTCGCCACGGTAGTTTCATTCTCCATTTCAGAATATCGTATGAGATTGTTGGAATATTATCCTTCAAGGGAATGGAAAAGACAACAAAAAGAAAGAATCAAGAATGCTGAATATGGTAGAAAGGCTCAAACATGAGATCGTTGTCCTCAAACGACCCCTCTAGGATTTAATTGGTGCTTGAAGGGACTCTTGACAAATGGTTTGTTGGAGTCTTGAAGAAGAAAACACTTAAACACTTGTATTTTTCTTCCAAAACTTGAAGAACACTTTCAATGTTTGAATATATAATGAATTAGATTTAAAAGCACTATAATATGGTTTTGATTGTTCATTTGTTATTTTTGTAATTGAAATCTACCACATATTTTGTAGATTTCAATTCACTATCTACGAAATAGTGTCATACTAACATGAAAAATTGAGTATTTTCATGAAAACCCTTCAAGAATCAAACCAGGAAAAACCAGTCTAATGGCTTGTTTTTTGTTCTATGCATACGAATAGTAATCATTCATGGATACACATGGTAGAAGCATTTTTTATTTTGTTTCTGCAGGCTCAAGCTTTGCGTACGCATGGATAAAACTCAAAATTTTCAATTTTGATTTCAAACCAATTCATCTCATTTGAATCTAGTGTATCATATTTCATCCATTTCATTAGACCCAAATTTAATCTTGAATAATAATTATAACAAGCACAACCTGAAGGTAAACTTGAGATAGAATCTCGAAGACAGGTGTTGCAATCACTGATGGAAAGATCAGGGGTGTACTGCGCCAGGGTGTACAGTCTTTGAAATGTCGTGAAGTTAACTTCTTTAGTAGTAAATTTCTTACTAGTAAGATTATTTGATGCTTCCGTGGCTATTTCATTCATGGTGTCCGCCAACATCTGTTTGAACCTGTCCGGTTCAATTGTAATGTTCTGGGTATTACGCAAGGCCAACCTAGCAGATTCTTGCACCTTGGATACTGTGGATTGATTTGAGTAAGTAACATCAATCATCGTACTAGATAATTGCCCCTCTTCTTTTGATATAACATTGTAAGATTCCAATCGTAGCATTATTCACACATTCTTCACATATGTCCGCGTTCACATCACCTCTGCATAGGAAGAGGCCGTAGACTGTCTGGAGGTCCACGATCAGTGGCGGACCCAGACATTTTGTATTGTGGTAAAAAATTAAAGTGTAATTTTTTTAAAAACAATATAATATTAATAAAAATAAGTTAATACGCATTTTGATACTTTGAAAACGTCTTATAATTATATCATTATCAATATTGTTAAAATGATTTTGCTACTTGTATAGTTTTTTTACCATTTCGTTGACAGATGTGTTGGAAGTAAATGAATTGAAATAAAATTCACAACTAATCTAGGATGTAAATGAAATTTAAATTTAATGCAAAAGTAATTCAAATTACATTTAATCCCTAACTATCCTAAAATTTTTGACATTATATTTCATGAGAAATTTCCTAAAAAATGATATAAATTATATTAAAAAACTTATATTGCAAAATAATAAACATTAATGAAATAATTGAATTTTTTTAAAGAAAATACGAGATAGATGTCTCTTTTAAGACACACATTTGACGCATATTTAGCTATTTTCAATATCCATTTGGACCATGCAATATGACTATGATATAGTTCTCGAAACTAGCTTCTAGATGACATAGGCAATTTGTGGATCTGGATAGTATACGGTCATCAGCGAATTTTATCGGAATTCTAAAATTACTAGTTTGGAACGGCATACTTTGATGTGTTGTAACTTTTGCTATGGTTGATCATTTCGCACGACATTAACAAGTGAAAAATTAGGTCATGAGCACTTCAAAATGATATTAAAAAAGCAATGTTTCGATTTCATTTGGCATTCCGTAATGAGTGCGTCAAAGTAGATTGTAAAGGGGTCAAAAAACAATTTTCTGGAAAAAATAAATCAAAAATTTGTGTGTGGTAATTTGACCCCTGATGACCCCTTGTGGGTCCACCCTTGTCCACGACCCACTGCGGAGCTATAAAATCCATTATTTTGGGTGGCATTTGTTGATGATAAATTGAGAAAGTTGATTCAAGTTGGCCTCGTATGTGCTATTTATTAGCAGCAACAAATCTTGACAAAAATATATGATGGAGGAATGGGTGTAAGTGGTCCGATTTTTGCGATTTTTGACAAATTTTCAAACCAAACCATTTTGACCGGTTTGAGAAAAACTCAAACTTAAACCAAACCGTTTTGACCGGTTTGAAAAAAACTCAAACCTAAACCTAACGGTTTGGTCCGGTTTTAAACCGCCGGTTTCGCGTATATTTTTTTTCCTATCTAGTATCTACTTTTATGCTATTAATTCAATATATATTTATATTTTATTAGAAATAAATCTAAAAAAAACTAAATATATTTACTATAAATTTAAATACTAACAAAATAAAAGTAAAATCACAATAAACTAAAGCATAGTTTTTTATTCGCCCTTATGACGTTTTAGGATAATACTTTACGATAAAGATACAATACTAGTCCACTAAAATAAATATAA